GTATTGAAAATGCCCCTCCAACCCGAACAGCGCCGTCTACACATTTAATATTGCTGACGCGGGCGGATCGTTGTATTGCTTTTGTTTTTTTTTTCTGGATTACTATTTCTGTTTGTTTTACTTGTTTGTTGCTACGATGTTTATGTAAGGGGTTTTGTGCATGAGCCTGCGTCATGGAGGTGTTTAGTAACACTTAGCGAGTCGTTTATTCAAATTTTTAAGAGTGGCTGTGGAACGTAAAGTGGCAGCTTGTGTGAACATCATCCCTGGAGTCACATCTGTGTGAGTCTTTATTTTATTCTTCAATTTTAGTTAAAAATTTGCTTCTGTTCGAGTTTTAGTTGACTGTTGTCCGTCTTCTTTTTTTTATCAGCAAGAGCTTGATTGATAGTTGCAATACTTCCGTCTTCTTTTTTTATCAGCAAGAGCTTGATTGATAGTTGCAATACTAATTGTTTCCCAGTACTCTTTGGTATCTCTTAATTTAGTTATGAATGGCAAGGGAAACTGCACGAAGACTCAGAAGTGGTGATGATTATGAAGACACGCGACACTCTTGTTGAAGAGTTGCATAAGGTTAGTGCTGCTCGAAATAGTAACTCGTACAATCGTGGATATCGGAGTCTATTTCAAATTTTGAGTTTTAATGAGGGTCACAATTGTGCCTCCTACTGAGAATCGTTGCCAAAGAGGATTAAAAGAGACGGGGCTATCAAGAAATAGCACGTAAATGGTGTAGGTCGCGTAGGAGGACAGTATACGGCTAATGCCGTTTGGACTCCAGCAATTTCGGCACCGAGCTCATTTTTAAATTGCCTAAGTCACCAAATCCGCTAAAAACTTGTATATAGGGGTAGTTTAACATCCTGATTACGAATATGACATTCATTTTTGGCGCTGGCGCTAATGGATGACACTACGATTACCTGCGCTCTGCTAAGGCTGAGCCCAGGAGGTAATCGTAGTGTCATCTCTTGGCGCCAGCGCCAAGAATGAGTGTCATAATTGTAATCACGATGGTAAATAACCCTTGTGTACATGTTTTCAGCGGGTTTGGTGACTTAGGCAATTTAAAAATGAGCTCGGTGCCGAAATTGCTGGAGTCCAAACGGCATTAGCCGCAGCGTACACTTCGTTTGAGTGGCGGCTTCGTGCAAAAACTGAGAGGTATTTTTCGGCTGTTGACTGGGCATACTGTACTGCATTGTCCCGTTGAACTAAATGGGTCCTGATGCGCCAAGTCATAGCGTCTCGAGCATGGCACAATTTGCAGCGTCTCCTTCGCTGCCCTCATGCATTCGATGGGGAGACAGGCGATTCTGTCGTGGGCTAACAAGGCCGTGCCGCTCACGTCGCGCGTGGCAAGTCGAGCGGCAGTGTTGTAGTTGCACTATCGTTTCCACCCGAGTTGCCGTCTTCCTCTTGTCCGCGGCGTGACCTTCAGAATAGCTATAAAATGGATCTCTCTGATAATCCGAAGGAGCCATGACGCAGCACAAGTCGTACGTTAAGGTGCGACGTCGCGTCGCAGACCACGCCCACCGGCGATCTGCGATAGAATCGTCACGTAAACTGTAGTGTTTGTCGAATGCACTGAGTACGGTAGTTACTCAGCAAGATGTTGAACTGCCGTTGACACCCAACTGGCGCACCAAAAATCATCTCCAGATTGTGAATGGTGCACTACTTCATTCCGCGTCACATGGATCTGAAACACTCGAGATTTATTTGAGAATACTTCTGAAAGATTAATTTTGATTTTCAGGTCGTTATCGAAAACCATACCTATGATGTGCCAGCGTTTGTATCACTTGCTACCGAAGCGGAGTCTTTTCCTTATGCTCAGTGGCTACTTGAACAAACAAATATCACCAAATCGGATACTGGAAAGGATTCTGAAGGCTTGTGAGAGGTAGCTTATTATCGGGTGATCAGTCAAGTAGGGTTTGTTGTCAAAACTTTGCTCATCTCACATCTTGGCTTCGTTTGTCGTTAATTTGCTTGTTCAATCTGTAATGTGTATATTAAAGTTCTATTCAAGCTTTCAAACTACTTTAGTTAGTTTTTGTCTTCCAAATGACTTTAACAAGATGAGTAAAGCTTTGATAACGTAAGTTCGTTACTTAAATGTTGACTATGAATGTCTTGCCTTATTCTTATCATCGGCACTATTCGCTTTCTCGAAGTATGCATGATTTTATTTTTTTTTCGTATAAAGCATTTATTTTCGATATACTGGTTGTTTTGTAAGCCGAGCGCACAGAAGCAGATACAAACTGTACCGGTAATTATTTTCTCGTATAAGTGGCAATATTGCCAAGAATTAACAAGTCTTACGGTATTTGTGAACTCTTGCATTAAATACGGTCTTGCGCTCAAGTAATTCCTCGGTGTCCTTTGTTGTACACGTAGTTTGGGCTCCAGTCTCTGCGATAATACCACTTTCGCGGCTTCCCAGTAAGTGACGAAGGCGCTATGGCCTTCAGAAATGGCGTTTCTGCGTTGTCCCCAGCTGCAGCGCCCACCAAAACTCAAGGGGAACTTCTGTCTCAGTTCAGTTTCACCCCATGTTTTTCGTTTCTTTCCACTGTTCCACTGTTAGATGGTGTTACCATTGGGTGACGCGAAATTAGCAATGGATGACGAGAAGAAACCAACACTAAGTCAGAGGCGGCAGTATATTACTTTTGCT